TGAAGTATAACTGAGCCAACTTTAGAATAAAATGTGATGGAGCGGGCCCCATCTGCCATAATCAGCCGCTTGAGTTGGGGATTGGCTAGACAGAAGTTTGATTTTACATGTTCCTTGTTAGCTTTAACATGATCCTCATCACAATGGAAAAGATTAGTAAAATTAACACTGAAGGTAAACATTAAGAGACACCTACTGCTCTATTCTCTTGTTCATGACAGTGTTGAATTTAGAAATCATAACCCCAGCAACTTGACCAACCACCTTTGAGATTCACACTCCCTAGCCCTCGCCTATCAATTATTTCAGTCTAATTTGATTGATGTGCGCAATAAACCTCCATCTATACTAAAAATATTACCATTTATTCCTTTTTGCAGATAGGTTTCTATCTAGCTTAGTTTGAAAGGACTTGGCAGTAGTTTGCTAGGATATTTGGCTATTCATTTTGTAGCACACCCACCCCATAACCAAATGTGTTGACTATCAAAGTTAGCTCTTTACAAAATCAGGGAGAGCCAATGAAAGGATATTGCAGTCATAGGAGTTTTACATCGACTAAGAGGTGCCTAAACTTATGGGCTCCAAACAAATTTATCTCTTTTCAATTGTTCAGTTGGGAGCATCCAGTGTTATTATATCCATCCACTATTTTTTGAGCTTGCCACATAAGGCCTAAAAATCCACTTAGCATCGTTCTGTTCACTACTAGACCAAGAGTGCATGGCTTGAATTTTGATGGGATCAGCACAAAACCTCTTCCTCAAAAGAATGACATAGATTTCAGACTTCACTTGCTCAATATTGTAGTTTCTTTTATTGATCTTCAGACATTGCTATCTCAATACCTCCATGACACTTAACAAATGCTGAGGATGTTCCTCTAATATCACACTGTATAATAAAATGTCTGTCAAAGAAACAAAGTTCCATTAACAGTTGTACGAAGTTCATTGTGCCTAGAATGTACTGCCTGCGTCCTTTCTCATGGTGTACGCTTGTTCAGAGTGTACTTAATATACTGTCTATAGCTCTAGTTGCTTATTTTCTATGTGTAATTTCTTATGCTTGGTAGCCAATCTACCTACATTCTACTCTTCCATGCCTGTCAACTACAAATGTGATTTAGCTGTTCCCTTATTCTGCTTTCTCAGGAAAGAGCTAAAGAGTTACAAAGCTTAAACGTTCATTAATAATATAATAGAAACATCCAGTCGTTAAAATTAGAGACAAGAATTTTCTAAAACTAATGTAATTGATTCATCAATGATAAAACCAACATAAAATTCTTCATGATTTCACGCGTAATTTTCAAAGCTACATTCCTCATCTTAAGTAAAAGAACAACCGAAAGAATCAAAAGAACGAGAACCTGAGCCAGTTTCAACTTTTCAGCCTCATCAATTGGGGGAACCGTCGGCGAAATGGAACTAGAAGAAGCGCGTGTTTCCAAACAAAATTGTCCTCTCCTATGCTCCAGAGTACCAAAAGTCTTTGAAAGCAACAACGAAGAAGAAGAAGAAGAAGAAGAAGAAGAAGATCGAATGGCGCTAAACGAAGGAAGTGAATTGGGAGGAGAATTGAGATCGGACGCTTGACGGCCTCGTACAGAGAAAGGCCGGCAATGGAAGTGGCTGAGGTGAAAATCCGATGAATAGACTGCGGCGGCCGGGAAGGCTCCAGTGCGAGGCACCGGCGAGAGCAGCGACTGCATGACTTGGCAGAGAGGCTATAGTAGATGTTAGGCTAGTTAGCGTTTTGCCTGAGTTTTGGGGTTGGGTTCTAAATATTTAACCTTTTTTATTTTTACTTTTCGTTTCCTTTTCCGGTAAGTTATTCAAAGTTTAGTTTTCTTTCTCTTGTTTTATGGACAATAGTGATTCATAAGTTGTCTTTTTTTGGTTCTTTGCTTGCCATGGGAGACTAGTTACACGTAATTGACTCACACGTACTCTCGTCGATCAATTCATCTGTCTTTTACATGACATGAACGATAAAATCCGTAATTGACTCAGTGTAGTTGTTCGAAATTCAGCATAGCTTACCTTCTTCAAGTTGAAGAAAGCATCGATATAACTTTCTTCAAGTTTTTGTAGACCTTTTTTTAGATTAGGTCAAAAGAGAACTGGATTGGGTCGGATCACTGCATTGGGTGCATGCCCCCATATGAGATTAACCATGAAACTTTTGATTCGATTCAAGTTTCCATTTTCTTTCTTGTTTGATGGTGGGGCTTCCTTCGTTGTCAACTTCTCCGTACCTTATAGTTATATGCAGTAAGCTGTTGTTGTTGTCGTCTTTTGCTTATATTCTCATATAACACAAATTTCAATTTCTCAAATCTTGCTTTCGAAACCCTCTTTTGAAATCTCTCTGCCACTGTTTTCTAAAAACTTTCTTCTTGAACGGGCCAGAGGCTTGAGCATACGTCGTTTGACCGTAGGCGACACAAGAACGAATAGACTTAACTCACTTGTTGCTGAATAGTGAGTGCCACGCAATCGCAAGTTCGCTGGTATCAAAGTGCGATTGTGACAACATCTCATTTTATTCAACGTGGCCATTTTTATCTTTATTATGTTTTATTCTAATGGTTCATTAATAATATTAGCCCTCACTTCTTTATTGGGATTTATGGTTTCGTTTCAATATTTTATAGACTAAATGAATTGAGCTCAATCTTGGAATAATCTTTCTTAACATATCTTTATTTGACTTTATGATATTCTCCCTTAAAGAGATGAAAATCAATTTCAGTCGGAGTTAACTTTGATGCTCCAAAGTAATTTATGATTGGTTTACTAGGCTCACCCCATACACGTTTAGGGTTTAGGGTTTAGGGTTAGATCGATTAGAGCCTTAATCTACCTCAAAGTGTATCTACTCTTTATCTAGGCCTTTCTTTATGTCTATAATGTGATTCTTGTGTATCATGTATCTGTGAGGTGCGACATCGTTTTGATTCCAATACTAACGACCTAAAGGGACATTATAAATCTACAGTCATTCATTACCAAATTTTAATTTACGAAGGCCAAAATGGCGAACCTAAGTAGGATCATAATGTCATGTCAAGTTCTAGGGGTGACCCTCGTGCCTGCCAACTACTTAGTACCTATGTGGTCCCTCACACATCCTACGAGTTAGTCTATGTAGTATAGCCCTAGTTCGATTCCACATGTTATCAAGCTCTAATCTCATCACGTTCTAGGCTTATCAAGTTCTGTTCTCAAGGCACTACCATATCGGTACCAATCTAGGTCTACACCATGGTGCACAAGCTGACTCCACCAATTAAGACAAGTTCACTACTAAAACTAGCTAACTACCCCAATAATCCGTGTGAGACATTGACAAAGATAAGGGAGTGCTCTTGGCTTTGATCATAGTACTAATCTAGGTATAGTATAGTCTAGGGTGCTCTTATGCTACATGATACTTAGCTTAATCTATTTAGGTTTTCTAGCCGTTCCTACAAATCCATCAGGTCCTACTTAAGTCTAGCATGTATCCTACGACTTTATTCTAGCTCCAAAACATCATATAGGATACTAATGTTATAAATCAACAATAATCAAAATCAATCATGGTAGTAAAATAAAACATGCAGACACAACAATTCATTATAAACATACATGTTATCAGTATTACGTAGTCAAGTGACGATAAAAAATGGTTGGGAGTACAATACCTTCCCGGAAAAAAAAAGTCAAGAGAAGAGAAGAAATAATGTTGTAGTTTTAATACAACTTTTAAAAATTTCAATGCACCTCCCCTCATCAAACCTATGATCATTCTCTAAGTTAGTCGATGTGAGACCTCCCTTTAATCGAGGCTCGACTTCTTTTCTTTTGGAGTCATTTGTTCGACATTTGAAGATTTTATTGGAATGGCTCTAATAGCATGTTAGATGAACACGACTCTACAATGGTATGATATTGTCAAGTATAAGTGCTCATGACTTCCCAAAAGGCCCCATTCCAACAGAGATAGTATTATTTGATTATAAATTTATGATCATTCCCTACCTTAGTAGTAATTGTAATGAAGTCTATAAAAGTATTTTAAAATTTTTAAAAAACATTTAGATATTTTTGAAATAAAATAAAAAAAAAAGTTTAAAAACAAGGGTGAAACATTTTTTTTAAGAGTTAAAATATTTTATTATTCATAATTAAAGGTAAGATTTTTTTTTTTTTTTTTTTTTTTTTTTTTTTTTTTTTTTTTTTTTTTTT